AGGGCGACGGACAGAGGCGGATCCAGCAATTTGGCAACACCGGATTTCCTCCATTTAAACATATGCTAAATAATCGATTCCTGTCAGAGCACCTGGCCCCTTCAAGATTCGATACATTTCCATAGGTTTAAATGGAGAAAAGACAATGTTGCCAATTTGCTGGATCCGCCAATGGCGACGGAGAGAATGATCGAGTTGAGGCTTGTCCGAATGTCCGTGTAGCGTGAGGAAATCCTAACCTTTAATTTTTTATTTACTTCTCCGTTCACTCATTTAGTATTTAATTTTTTTGGTGGCAAACTATGAGAAAAAGTAAAACATGCTGATTGCGGAACTTTTTTTTTAGCTCAACGTGTACACCGCAGTGCCGAGAAAAAAACACCGCGTGAGTCTTCAGCCGTTGCCAAATTTTCAATTTACAAGACACGAATTTTTAAGGAAAACCGTGAATAGTTCTCTTGCAAATTTCCGGAAAATTTTGTTAGCAATTCGATCCGGATTATCAGGAAAGGTCAAGGCAATATACGTGTAACTTTCCTTGAAAATAAATACTGTATCGGAGAAAATCTGACAACTTTGGAATATTTTTGGGAAATTCACTTGAATACGGCAGTGCATGTAGCATCGATTATTTGCAGAGTGAGGGAATTTTGAAGCTGGGATTACGATGTATTCGATTAAATGGACCGCATTTAGCAAAAAGGAACCAAGCCACACCAGGTACTGCCAAATTTAACTGGGCGACTTTTACAAGAGAGCGTTCAAGCGGCTCCCTTTGAAAATTTGGAGGAATTGGCTTCGTACTATGCAGAAAATTCACTGAAATTGACACAACAATTCGCACAGTCTTTTCCACGTAAAAGATGAAATTGCGCGATTAAACTCGGCAATACCTAGCTGATGTGGCTTGGTTTCTTTATGCTTGACGCGGTTCAAATATAGAGAAAAAAGCAATTATCTGCATATGAAAACTGCGGCAGCGCCCAGCGCTCATAAATCACGTAACGCACTTTTTCGGCATGGTTGATACCCCTCCCCCTTTGTAACGCTTTGTAACGTAACTCCTCGTAGTAATTACTGACGTAACGCTTGACGTTCCCCTCCCTCACTTCCGATTCCAAAAATTGTGAGAAACCGTTAAATAAATGGGTGAATAAAATTTAAAATATTTTCAATAAGTAACAGTGTGAAAAATAACATAGAAGAAATGGGGATCGGGGCCGGATTAAGGGGGTGGCCACATGAGCCGCGGCCCATGGCGGCAAAAATTTGCAATTTTTTTAAAAGTAGGTATAAAAAAAATTGGATTTAGAAAAAAATTACAACCAAAATCACTCATTTCCTGAGAGTATAGTAATTTCTAATTTTGTCGTCTTTCGGTGATACAAGAGACAGCACTTTTAATTAATCGAGTTAAGAGAGAGACCAAACACGCAATTTGGCCTGAGGAACGGCGCGACTGAGAGAAAAATGATGAGGACTTGAGATGAAAAGGAGAAGCCCTCGGCACGGCAATCGGCATGTAACACATATTAGCGCCTACAGGACTGAACGAATACTTCACGCATTGCATCAAACACAGTGCGGTCAGCGTGAAACGGATAGCGCCTACAAGATTACAGGAATACTTCACGCATTGCACCAAACACAGTGCGGTCAGCGTGAAACGCATAGCGCCTACAAGACGGCGTGAATACTTCACGCATTGCGTCCAACACGGTGTGGTCTGCGCGGCGCGGCGGCGGAAGTTAAAATCATGGAACCACATTTATGTTTGTTCTTTCATAATTTTTTCGTTCATTTCTTATGAATGGAAGGTCTTGTCTACACAAAGATAGGTTTACGGAACTTAACTTTCGCGCAAAGTTTCGTGAACTTTTGCTAGTAATGTTAACAGGGCTTTCCCAAATAATGTGTTCAACACGAGTAAATGCGTCTTATGCACACCTCCCCCGCTGGCACGTTCATTTGATGGTTTTTATCGACTTTCAAAACGATTGAGAAGGGGGCGGTAAAAAATAGACGGCCCATGGGCGGCAAGTAGGTGAATCCGGCCCTGATGAGGATGACATATTTTCTATTTTGTAGGTTTTTTTATGATAGAGAGGGTTGAGTTACCTACGTCCGCAAATAACCGATACGTAATTCATGAACGCTCCCTACTTGATGACATATACGTTTTTAGTGTATTTCCCGAGGTAAGTAAATACACTATTTTGTAAAATGAAGCAGAAATTGTTTCCAATTTTAGTTTCAACAGGAGATTCGGCCATGAGGAAAAATTACCAGATGGCGGCAAGCAGTCGACATTTCAGAGCTTTTTGAATACCTACTCAACGATTGTTTTAAACTACAAGACGGTATGTTCCAACCTCACCGGGAGTACACGTACAAGTTGCTTTCAAAAACGGGGGGGGGCGCTAAACATTTATTTATTTTGTGTATATTTTATATAATTCTAACGTAGAAAACGATCCTCACAAAAGGGGGGGGTTGCCGGAAATCAACCCCTATGGACCGAGATATTAACAAGTATACCCTCAGACAAGAAGTTGACGGGTATTTTTAACACCAACAAATGGAAGTTGCATTGATCAAATCACACATTTATAGTCTTCTCATTGAACCGATACTAATTGTAAGAACTTGTACCTTGTCTAGGAATTGATTTTCAGACTTCTCGTTCTGCGATTTGTTTTTCTCATAAAATATGGAAGGAAGATTGTGCTGAAAAGTGTTTTTATTCATACCTTATCAAGAGACTTGTTCTGTTTGGTTTGCACATTCTTCTCGCACAACATTATGTAGGCTCCATTAATTACTGAATATCTTTGGGGCTATTAAAATATTGGTCTCCTTAGTTTAGGCGAAATTCCATAGTAACCATTAGCAATGGGATGTTTAATATTCCAGAGAACTTTAATAAAAACTCCTAGGATCCGCTTGGAGGACAACCATTATTGCAACCAAACTTAAAAAAAATGTGAAAAAGGTAAAAATTGTAAAAAGTTCATTGGTCCTTTTTGGGAAAGGTTCCCAGCTTTTTTGGTTTAGGTATTTCCAACATTGTTTTCCCAGCGTTGTTCTTTTTGTATGATTTGATATTTCCTCAGCACAACACTCCAGTTAGTGGTTATGTTGATAATTTATTTAAATCAATTTTTGGAATGAAGAAAAATGTTACCGACTATTAAATGAAAATAATTGAATAAAATGTGATCCAAGTGTATTTTTGCATTTAAGTAAACACCAAAGATTTTTAAAATGGCATAATTTTCCTTGAATTTTCCTACGGTGGATTTCTTAAAAAATGGAATTTAAAATGACTTGTTGTGGGAGGGAATTTCAATGGAGAACATTCATATAGATCATCTTGTAAGTTGCTGAACACATGGAGCATCGATAAATAGATTAGAGCTCGCACATTGTATGTAGAGATAACGTCAAAATATTGTTAATTAAATGTCACCATTCAACAGTGGTGCCATCTGACTACATGTATTAACCTGTTGAGTGGTGCAAGTTCAGAGCTGATCAGAGATCAACATTTGTCTCAACATACGATGCGCAAAGCTCTAATTGGTCAAGGTCTTTCTTGACTCCATTCCACAACACTTACTTGAAAAATAATATGGATTACAATAGGGAATCAACTGAGGGTATCGTATATCTAGCAGTGATACAATTTCAAACACTACATGGGCAGCGCAATAGATATGCTAAAATACTAGGATTTGTTGAGATTTTTAATTGTCTGAGCACCACAGTATGGCTACATACCTAAGGTACTACACAGAGGAGTAAGGCAATCTAATTAGTCTTCATTACTAGAGTTTTGATTAGCCACACCTCACACAGAAACAATTACTTTCTTAAAGTGCTTTGGAGAGCTCCTTCATTGTGTTTTTATGTTGGGTAAAGCAGGCATGGTAAATAAAATTATTTAGGTTTGATAAATCCATAGCCAGAATAATTAGATTTCAGTGAGGTAGTAAATCATTGATAAGTCTAACCCCATGATGATTATGAAAAGGCAGCCACCAAAAGACATGGGAGACGGGAGTCAGTTAAGTAGGAGAAGAACTATAGGCTCAAGTGGTCATTATGTAACACAGAGTTGAAGTGTGAACAATTATGTTAATCATGGGCGTGGGAAAACAAGTCTTCGGGCCTCCAGAAAATAAAAATTATCTACAGTTTCTACATTGAGGCTCCATAAAGAATGCATGGCCTCTTTCTCCCACTTCTCTCTTTGAAAATAATATGTAACCCCACCGATGTCAATACATCATAGCACAAGGTGCACTAAACTGCAACTCACAGCATTTAAAAGTTGCACCAAAAATCTTAAAAATAGTGCACCAAAGAGAAATATACAAGGACCCAATGACTAGATACAACATTTAAGGCATCTTACATTACAAACAGAACCTTTGATCGCATTCTGGTGGTATTAGCAAGGGATCACGCTAATATTAAGTATCTGGTTATCAGTTTCATTTCAAGGTACTGAATCCATGAATCGGGCTCAAAAGTAAGTAACTAGCACATGAGCCTAGTTGGATCTCATAAAGCACAAAATAAAGGTGAACTCATTGAAAAGACCTATATCGATAACAAACCCGGTAAGTAACTGGTGTTGACCATGTTGATGAATTTTGACATTGCACCAGTCAAGTATGCAAAAAGTAAGAGAAACAACCAATTGGTTATTATAAACCATTGCGATTCAAGGATAATTAGATGCACACAGCATAACACAAAAGTCTTTACTGAAGAAAATGAAATCATGAATACATAATTAGGACCTTGCGACATTCATGACCCTGTGTGGTGCGGTTGACTAGAGGAAGGATCCAAGTTTTGAGTTGCAGTGTTATTATTGTCAAGTGCACCTATTTGACGGAGAATGTGATGCGCAACGACCGGAGATTTTTCAAAACTCATGAAAAACAGTGAAAGCAGCTATGTAGTACGAAGACATAACAAAAATGACTAACCTCCAAATCGCCTTCCTCCCTGAAGGGTGCATGGAGATTATCCTCCTGAACTCTGTAATCCTTCAGAAGTTCGTAGGCTGCCGAGGAATGGCCAGTTGCCTTAAGAGCTGCTGTAACATCGGCATCTTTCAAGCCGACCAGAGTATTCGAGCCTCCAGGATGATATTTTAAAAATCTTCCGATGTTGTGCGTCTGTCCTTTATGTTTCACTACGAACGTTGACATCACAAACAAATTTGATAAAACTAGCTAATGAGAAGTTGAAATGCAATTCACATGATTTACATCGATTCGGAATAGGTAAACCTACTTCGATTGCAAACACCAGATATTCGGCTCACACCCGCAGCGCACCATGAGCCATGAACTTCGCGACCGGAATGAGAGGACGAGTAGTTGCCGCCCCAACCAGAACCGACTCCACGAGGATTCGCGCTTTCGGAGAGTGTAGTCACGTTGGAAAAGCACGAAATAACTGTAAATGTAGTAGCCACTCACACGAACAAAAAGCCTCGGTTTGTATTTGAAGGTACTAAACGTCAGGGTTTGCCGGAAGCGATTTTCGACTCCCGAATCCGAGGGGATAATCACGCTCAAGCGCAGCACAGCAGCGATCAATTTGTCGGAGTTTCGCAGTTTCGTGGCGCCACTGATCGAGCGAGACTGGGAGAGTGAGTCATCTCCTACTTCGCGCCCTTGCCCGTAGGTGGCGCTTTGAGCTTTCGGTGTGACTAGGGAAGGAGGGGAAGGAAAAGTGTGAGGTGTGCCGCATTTGTGAAAGGAAAGTCGGAAAAGCCTCATTTCAATCATCATAATTATAGCCATAGAAGTTGCAATTAAATCTTAGTCTCAGAAATTTTGAATCAATCTTCCGCGGATAGTTGCCCCCTGCCAAATCTTTCACAGCGCAAAAGACACGGGTTGGTACTTGTAAATGCAGCGTTTCAAGTGATCAAATGTTCGCTCGTGTTTTATTTTCTTCAAGGAAATCCATTCAACATAGTTTCTTGGAACTTTCCGTGGGTTTACGTCCCCGCCATAATATTATTCGCATGAAAATTTCAAGGACATAATAAGGCTAGCCTCTCTGGAAAGAAATAAAACCTAGTGGACAATTTAACATGATGGTGTTACGTAAGTAAATAAGTAATAACAGGGACTTCGTGGGAGGGGGGGGGGGGGCCATGCGCTTAAAAGTTAAGGGATTTTTAGCGATTTCTTGAAGTTTTGCCTCCCCCAATTAATTTAACCCCTCTCCCTTCCTCCACTTTCTCACTAGATCCCCCTATCGTGGAACTTCACTTTGGTTTGCGGAATATTTTTGTGCATCTCTGTGCTTTTTTGGCAGCAAAAATTATTACTACAACAGTCACGAATCGATGATGACTTTTGAATTTACTGAAAGTCGGATCTGAAGGAAATTATGGTGGAATTCTTGCAGCTGCTCTTTTACGCGAAATCCTTGAGAGTAGAGAACCTACTACATTCTCTGATAATGCCCACTATACTTATTGTAATAGACGTTATACATAATATCTGTGCTTCGCATGAACCGCTACATTGCGGCGCGTTTATCAGCGCGCCCCGTTCTGAGGATAGTTCGCCTTCAAATACTGTGATAGCAATATGAGCGGCTGGGGAACACGAATAGTTGCGTGCAATTGCGGTTTATCACTTTCCCTCCGTCTAGGCAAGAAATACCTGTTGATTCGTAAAAATCATAGATGTAATCACCAAATACCTTTTTTCTCATTTGAAACAAAAAGAGATAATAATCCTAGACGAAGGTTTTTCCCACCATCCCGAATTTCTGGGGGGAGGACGGCAGCCGGTACTAACGCTTTTTTCCCAAAAATGGGCAATCGGTACCCCCGAACCCCCCTTTTTTCTAAATGGCCGCGTTAGCACGAGGCGGGTTCATGGGGACTTTTACTATGTTCATTAAGGAAGATCAAAGTAATTCTTTTCTGCAGAGAAACCTTCATTATTAATTTTGCCCCGACGCTATTTACGCGATTTCTAGATTGACCGCACTATAATAAAAAAAGAAGAATAGGTATGTTTTTTCTTTTTTTTTACTACTTCAAATAGCCCAAAAGGGCTAATCCCACGCTTTAAGTCCCATCCCCCCTCCGTCCCTACTGAACCAGCCCCAGGCAACCATTGTTTAAGACCATCAAACTCGGCGGTCGCCTGACCGGGAATCGGCCCCGGGACCTCCCGATTATAGAGCAAGCGCTACAACCACTACACCATAGGAGGCCTTGAGTACCTTTAAGTATACACAGAGTATGGCCATTTTTGTCCCGGTTTTTCATTGGTCGCGAGCGAATAGGCTGACACGATGCTCTTAGGGCCGTAAATAAACAAACTCGAGGCTGTTATCAGCAAACAAGATTGAGGTTATGCACATCTTACATCCTCCTGTGACAAAGGTGAAAGGCGATTTAACAATGTTTTCGTGTTTGCGAGTGTGTGTGTGTCCCTTTGACATGCCGCATCTGAACAATGAGTGCGAGAGAGAGAAAGGACAAAAAAGCGTATGGACCAATCCAAGTTCAGCCTTACTCCCCGTTTACGGCCGTTCTTTCCGGGGCTCATGGTCGGAAAGCACTCCGGTGTTTCTTCGGGGCACCCGGATTCGGGCTCGCCACTACCACCGCGGACCAAATTACGAGGCCCAGCCTGTATTTTTGCGAGTGTGTGTGTGTCCCTTTGACGAGCCGCGGGTTGCCGCATCTGATCAATGAGTGGGAGAGAGATAGACGATAAAACGGCGGCTTGTCAAAGCCGAGTGTGCTCCTTTGACGTGCCGCATCTGAGCAATGAGTGCGAGAGAGAGAAACGACAAAACAGCGTATGAACCAATCCAAGTTGAGCCTTAGTCCCCGTTTACGGCCTTTCTTTCCAGGGCTCATGGTCGGAAAGCACTCCGGTGTTTTTTCGGGGCACCCCGGATTCGGGCTCGCCACTACCACCGCGGACCAAATTACGAGACCCAGCCTGTATTTTTGCGAGTGTATGTGTGTCCCTTTGACGAGCCGCGGGTTGCCGCATCTGTTCAATGAGTGGGAGAGAGATAGACGATAAAACTGCGGCTTGTCAAAGCCGAGTGTGCTCCTTTGACGTGCCGCATCTGAGCAATGAGTGCGAGAGAGAGAAAGGACAAAACAGCGTATGCACCAATCCAAGTTGAGCCTTAGTCCCCGTTTACGGCCGTTCTTTCCAGGGCTCATGGTCGGAAAGCACTCCGGTGTTTTTTCGGGGCACCCGGATTCGGGCTCGCCACTACCACCGCGGACCAAATTACGAGGCCCAGCCTGTATTTTTGCGAGTGTGTGTGTGTCCCTTTGACGAGCCGCGGGTTGCCGCATCTGATCAATGAGTGGGAGAGAGATAGACGATAAAACGGCGGCTTGTCAAAGCCGAGTGTGCTCCTTTGACGTGCCGCATCTGAGCAATGAGTGCGAGAGAGAGAAAGGTCCAAACAGCGTATGGACCAATCCAAGTTGAGCCTTAGTCCCCGTTTACGGCCGTTCTTTCCAGGGCTCATGGTCGGAAAGCACTCCGGTGTTTTTTCGGGGCACCCGGATTCGGGCTCGCCACTGCCACCGCGGACCAAATTACGAGGCCCAGCCTGTATTTTTGTTTTTTTCGTGTGTTATTCGTAGATATGCTAGTTTAAATTGTTACTGCCGTATAATTGAAATTTTTGTCAAATTTAGCTT